ATTGATGATGGTGTTGCGGATGATGATGCCAATGAAGATAGAATTGATGAACTCTTGAATGATGTTTATGATAATTTTGATTATCAACCAAAATCTTATGAGAATTTGATTGAGGCCGCCAATATACCGCTATTCACGGGTTCTGAATTCTCCAAACTATCTGCTGTTCTCAAATTATTTCACTTGAAAGCTAAACATGGGTGGAGTAATGTTAGTTTCACTGAGTTGCTGATATTGCTTCAAGAAATGCTTCCAGAAGGAAATACACTTCCCGATACGAGCTATAAGGCTAGAAAGTTGTTGTGTCCAATGGGAACAGAATGGGAGAAGATTCATGCATGCCCAGCCGATTGCATACTGTACCGCAATGAATATGAAAACCTAAATGAATGTCCAAAGTGTCACGCTTCACGTTATAAGAAGAAGAAGGGTATTAATGTTGGGTTTGATGCTGAATACACCAAAACACCTGCCAAAGTGTTGTGGTATCTTCTTATCATTCCTAGATTTAAAAGATTATTCATGAATGAGAAAGATGCAAAAAACTTAGTGTGGCATGCTCAAGACAAGAAAAAAGATGAGTACTTGCGACATGTATCTGATGCACCACAGTGGAGGCAAATTGATTTGAAATATCCTGATTTTGGCAAAGAAGACAAGAATTTGAGACTTGGATTATGCACTGATGGTATGAATCCATATGGCACATTGAGTAGTCAACATAGTACTTGGCCAGTTTTATTGGTTATTTATAATTTGCCTTCATGGTTGTGCATGAAGAGGAAGTACATAATGTTGTCTCTGCTTATCTCGGGACCACAACAACCCGGTAATGATATTGATGTGTACCTCGCACCATTAGTTGATGATCTTAAACTTATGTGGAATGAGGGTGTTACAGCATATGACATGCACACAAAAACAAATTTTAATTTGCGTGCTTTGTTGTATTGCACTATTAATGACTTTCCAGCTTATGGAAATCTTTCTGGATATACAGTTAAAGGTGGAAAGGCATGTCCCATTTGTGAAGATGACACTCTTGATTTGCGATTACCCAATTGCAAAAAGAATGTATACATGAGTCATCGAAGATTTCTTCCACGAAACCATCGTTATCGTGCACTCAAAAAGGCATTTAATGGAAAAGCTGAACACGGTGTTCCTCGACGTGTATTAAGTGGATCAGAAATATATGATAAGGTCAAAGATTTGAACACGGTTTTTGGTAAACCATATAAGCGGAACAAACAGAGTTTGTGGAAGAAGAAGTCTATTTTTGGGGAACTTCCGTATTGGAAGGACTTATCTGTGAGGCATTGTCTTGATCTTATGCACATTGAAAAAAATGTGTGTGACAGCATCATTTCGACCATTATGAATGTTCCCGGAAAGACAAAGGATGGAATTAATATCCGAAAAGACATGATTGAACATTTAAATATTCGAAAAGAATTGGCACCACAACCGCGGGAAAATGGTTTTTATCTTCCACCAGGTTGCTACACACTCTCAAAGGTTGAGAAACGAATTTTTTGTGAAAGCTTATATGGCATCAAAGTGCCTTCTAGGTATTCTTCAAATTTTAAGAATCTCGTATCATTGAAGGATATGAAATTGGTTGGTTTGAAGTCTCATGATTATCATGTTCTGATGCAACATTTGTTGCCTGTTGTTCTACGAGGGCTTTTACCTGATCATGTTAGATGTGCGATCATGAGGTTGTGTTTCTTCTTCAATTCCATATGTCAGAAAGTGATTCACCCTGAGAAACATGATGCGTTGCAAGCTGAAGTGGTTATTACATTGTGTCAGCTTGAAATGTATTTTCCACCTTCACTATTTGACATTATGGTGCATCTTGTGGTACATCTGGTTAGAGAAGTCAAGATGTGTGGTCCTGTGTTTTTACGATACATGTACGGAATGGAAAGACATATGGGATATTTGAAATCAAAGGTGAAAAATCGATGTCGACCTGAAGGAACTATAATCAGGGGTGTAATTGATGAAGAAGTCATTGAATTTTGCACACCTTATTTGATGAATGTTGAATCATTAGGTGTTCCAAAGTCTAGACATGATGATAGGAATGAAGGAAAAGGCATACTTGGAAAGAAATTACTAAAGAATGTGGACAATGAGTTAGTGGAAAAGGCCCATCTTCTCGAGTTGCATCATTTAGAAATTATTTCTCCATATGTGCAACAACATATGAATGCTTTGAAGACTCAATTTCCGTTGAAAAGTGAAGTATGGTTGACTAAAGAACACAATCGTACGTTTTCATCTTGGTTTAAAGACTTCATCTTCAATGACAGGAATGATGTTTATAATGAGGTTGATGAAGATGTTAAGTGGTTGGTTTATGGTCCTAAATGCACAATTGATTCATATGAAGCATACGATATCAATGGCTGCACCTTTTATACTACCCGACAGGATGCCAAATCTGTATTACAGAATAGTGGGGTATTAGTGGTAGCATCGTCAACAGAATATGCAAGTTCAAATGATCAGAATCCTCTTTATGCAACAATGTCTTACTATGGAAAAATTGAGGATATATGGGAGTTGAATTACACGAACAGGAGTTTTTCACTTTTCAAGTGTCAGTGGGCCGATATTCGAAGAGGTGTTCAGCGTGATCAAACAGGAGTGACATTAGTGGATTTTACTCGACCCGGATATCATGATGATCCGTTTATACTTGCATCCCAAGCTGAACAAGTTTTTTATGTAGATGATCCCTCAAACAAACGATGGTCAGTTGTTTTACCAGGTAAGAAAAAATTAAATGTGGGTGATTGTGACGTTGGAGAAGATGATTATATTGAAGATATGCCGTCATTGTCCACTGGCATGCATGACAGAAATGCAACAATCGATTACAATGAAGATGATCTTTCATTTGTTGGAAATCATAACGATGGCATAGAAATTTTCTTCAAAAAGTCAAAGTGATATCATGAGTGAATTGTAAGTAATCTTAACGTTATTATGTTTTTTTCTTGAATTAAAATTCATTTTTCTTTCATATATTATTTGTGCTTCTAATAATAACACTGTTGCAGGAGCTACACACTATGAGTGATAGTGATGGAGATGACTTTATTCTCAATGAGGAACCTCATGTTAAGGCGGAGGAACATAGTAGCAGTGGGCGCAGAACTAGCGACGGGAAAAAAATAGTTGATTTTGATAAAAATGGTCAGCCAGTTGGTGCGTGGGTGGAGAAGTTCAAATCTTTTGTGGGCAAGATAGTACGTGCTCGGGTAAACATCAACATTGAAAGTTGGAAACATGTCCCCGAATCCCTAAAATTGCAGATGTGGAAAGAGATCCAGGTATGTACACTTAATTATATATTTTAACTTTATTAATAATAAGAAAAGATTACAAGTCCTAATGCATATATTAAATCACCACTATGTAGGATGAGTATTTTGTTGATGACACCATGTACAAGTTGACCATAAAAAAGATGGGAAAGTTACATCGGGACTTTAGAAACCGATTGAGGACGGGCTTTTTTTATAAGACACGACCAGCTGGAAAGGATAGTGGTGAAGCTTATGTGAAGTATAAAGGCATTTTGACACAAGATGTGTGGGAGGATTTTATCGCTAGGAGCATGACTCCGGACTTTCAGGTATAATCCAAATGTAATTTTATTGAATTCAATTTTGTTTTATAATATGAATTCCATACTTTTTAAATTTTATGCAGGAATTAAGTGATAAAAACAAACAAGCTGCGTTACTGAATATTTACCCTCACCATATGGGTCGCTCCGGATATGCACTTTCCATACCGAAATGGAAAGATCAAGGATTACTAGATCAGTTTTTGACTAAGTCTGAAGTGGATTCCACAAAATCTAGCGTATCTTCTGATGACATTCCGAGACATGTGAGTTGGTTTTGTGCTAGATCTGGATTGACAGCAGATGGACAACTAGCTTTCTCGAGTAACACCGAAGCCATGAAAAAGAAGAAAGAAAAACTTGTAAGTATGTTTCACATAAGTATATTTTACGTATAAACTTTTCACATAACAATGTTTTACGTATAAATTTTGTAACTCTTTTTTTATATGTAATAGGATAAAATTCAAGATGATGTTGCTACAGGGACGTGGAAGCCACACGGACGACATGATATTCTTACCGAGATATTTGAGAAACCTGATTATCTTGGACGTGTACGCGGTGTTGGAGGAGGTGTGGGGCATAAAAGAGTGTTTGAGCGAGAGCCGAGGAGTTCACGTAAGATTGGTAATTTGAGCGATGCTGATTTGAAGAAGTTACAGGATCAGTGGATGAAAGATATGGAAAAAGCTTTTGCTCAAAGAGGATTCCAATCTACCACATTTCCATCTACGCATTCTCAAATAGTAGATGCAGACACTATGAACTCCACCGCACCTATTCCACGAAATTTTTTTGTGGTAAGTAATTATTAAAATCATATATATTTATTAATGTCTACAATATTTATTAACTTTTTTTTGAAAATAATTATAGGACGCTTCATCCTGTAAGCTAGTTGTTGAGTCACAAACAGAAGATGGACACAAAGATTTGAAATATGTAGCAATGGCTTTGGCTTATAATACAGCCCCGGGGGCCATGATACATAATATTCCGATGTCTGCTAATACCATTAAAGTTAACATATCTATGATTTATACAGGTTTTGTGAAATGTCATCCTTTGTTTCCATATATAGTGTTCACAGATTTTGTGAGATGCAAATCTTTAAATGTTATTATTATTTAAGTTTGTTTTTTGTTTCAATGGTTTTTACAGGTTTTGAGCAATGTCCTCTTTTAGTTCCAAATGAAAATGTTGATATATAAGTGTTGACAGACGCTATAGGATCATTTGTTGAGTGGCCTAGTCATTTAGTTTTTTTTGAAGGAGAGGTGAATAAATAACTCTTTGCAATTATCAAACAATACAAAATTACTCTATGTTACTGTCATTCTGACCATTTTTTAGGATCAGGTAAAGTCAAAGCGGAAAGATGTGATTCAAAAGAATAAAGCTTTTATTCCGAGAGAGTCTCCTCGGGTTGTGGTTCCTCCTAGCACATACCCATTGGTTAGTGATACTATTTTGCAGTCACTAACTGAAGATTTATTGGAGCTACATGAGATGCTAGAGTGGTATGAGCCAGAGGTGTGTAAATTCTCTATTGCTTTACCTGTTGATGCTTTTCACTATCCGCAAAACAGTGAATTTGGGACTATCATCGATCGTAAAGACTTGGCTGAACTACTCGAGGGTGATTCTGTGGATATGTGCATCATTCAATCCTTTGCATTGTAAGTATTTTAAATAAATATAACAATATTTAAATTAAAGTTAATGAAATGATTTGAACTTCAAAATTGTATAATGATGCTATATTATGTTTATTATAGGTGTGCCTTAGCTAAATTGAATGATTTGCAACGTGATGATGTTGTGTTTTTGTGCCCCTTATTGTGCTCTTATGGTTCTTATCAACATGACAAGAAGGGCACAATAACATATATGAAACAATCTTTGTGTGCGACATTTGGAAAAAGAATGATCTTGCTTCCATATAATGAAGGGTAAATAGTTTTATTTTATATAATGTATCTGTTTATGTAAATTTAATTTTTTAATTAATTGTAATTTTTTTGATATTTAGATTTCATTGGATTTTGATAGTCATTTGCCCCTCGGTTAATAAAGGCTATATCTTCAATTCAATCCCAAGCTTTTCTAATATCAGCATTCAGAAAGATCTAGCATTGTAAGTATTCTTTTAATATTTTTTATTTATATTAATTGCTATAGATTATTATTATTATTATTATTATTATTATTTATATCATTTAACATAAATTTTTTAATGTAGAGCATACAGAGTTGCTTCCGCAAGAAATGGTGATGGAAAGCCAATCACATGGCATAATGTTAAGGTAAATTCATCAATAACTTATTTCAATCACCATTAACTTTGATACATATATTTTGTAAATTTGTATTTCAAAAAAGTGTGCCAGACAAAACGGAAACACAGAATGCGGATATTATACCATGCGATACATATGGGAAGTGATTTCGTATGTTGATAGCTTTGATATTGGAAAGGTATATCATTATTTATTCTTATTTTTTAACTTCGTTTAATTTTTTCTAATTTAAAAGTTGTAATATTTTTTATTTATGTTTTATTTTATCTAAATATTTGTAGGATCGGTATTCAAGAACTGAGGCATATTCTGAAGATGAGTTTAATAACATTCGCAATATATGGGCACGATTTTTCTTGGATGTACTCTTAAATATGTAAAAGTTGATTACATTGGTTATGTATTGTGTTAAGTGTTTTTTGAAATCATTTTTATGAAGATTTTTGTAATCTGTTGGTTACTTGAATTGCTTACACACTTTGCTGATTTTGTAATTTGTGAAGTTCATGTTGTTGATATTGTGATGACTTTAAACAGTTTACACTTTTGGTATTTTGTTAATTCTGTTACAGGACGTTTTTGAAAGATCCTAAATATGATTGAATATTTTAAAAAAATGTTGGAAACTTGCGGCGCTTATTTGTGTTAGGCGCCGCGAAAGTTAAAAAAATAAATAATTTAATTTATTTAAAAATATTTGCGTCGCTTATTTACAGAAAGGCGCCGCACGGTTACGTATTAAATTATTAATTTAAAAAAATATTTTGCGGCGCCTATACGCAAAAAAGCGCCGCACACATATTAAATATAATTTTTTTAAAAATAAAATATTTGCGGCGCTTTTTTAAATTAAGCGCCGCACGCGTTAAATTGCGGCACAGAGATGTGCGGCGCCTGAAAGCGCCGCACGTTGGTTGATTTAAGCGCCGCAAAAAGGTAATTTTGCACCAGTGGATTCTCTCCAATATTGATCTATGCAGCGGATCAGCCGGTCTGGGGTCCACTTCATTTATTGAATTTTGTTTGCTTGAACTATTGCTTGAACCAATGAAAGATTCGGCATTTGCAGTGAAGATTTTGTTGGGTCCGATGTATTGGTCAAACGAATCACTTTAGAGGTTGAGCATTTAATGAAGTGGTTGGGGGTTGAGCATTTAATGTGGTAGCTGGGTGTTCCAACTTATGCATATCGTTTGCCTATAAAAGGTGACATCGGATGTTTTCAAACCAACACTCCCTTCATTCACTCCCTTCACTCAACATGGCAACAAACACCAACGAAATTCCCAGAACATTGTACTCGATGATAAGGGACGTTGATCATACCAGATCAACATGGGCCCTCAAAGTTCGAGTTGTGAGGGTCGTTGAAATGTCTGCCCAAACTAAAGGAGGTCAAAGAATGGAGGTTGTTTTCCATGACGAGGATGTAAACTATGCTTTTGCGTTTTTTCCATTTACTTTCGTTGACATCGGATTTTATATTCATAAGCTTTTTTATGGCTAATGTAGGGTGAAAAGATACATGCATTGATTAAGAGACCCCTTATGCACCTGTATAAATCGAGGTTGCTGGAAACCCAATGCTTCAGGATAAAAAACTTTTTGGTGCTCGACAATTACTATACGTACAAAACTACCTCGCACCCATATATTCTGGAATTTATTAAAAAAATCAAAGTTTTCGACCACCCTTCAGAAAACTTTCCGAATTTCATGTATGATTTTCATCAGTTCGACATGCTGCAGAGCCTAAGGGTTGTGAACGATAAACTGTTGATAGGTACTATTTTAAATATAAATTTTTTAGAGTGGCTGTTGGTACTATTATATTACGAAATGTATAATAAACAAATGTATAACTTCACGTTATCCTATGTCAGATGTAATTGGAAAAATTGTTGGAAAAACACCTCCACAGACGCATGTGATAAATGGCAAGCCAGAGCGTCTCATAGAACTGACTTTGGAGGATCCCGAGTTAGTAAAAGTGCTTAACCCATTAATTTTAACTACAGTAAGGCAACATCAGAGGACAACCGCAATTACTCCTTTTCCCTCAAGTACCTTTCGGCAAAAGGAGTGAGGGACTCCTCATAGAGTATATGGCCCACGAACCCCCGGCCCATAGACTCCCACTACTATAGTGAAGGCCCAATAGGCCCAGGAAGCACAGCAGGCCCAAATCACAACACCCCAAGTGCCAAACAGCCCACGAAGAACACTAGGATGCCTTCGCCCCCCTGGCCGAAGGCTCATAAACTTACAGTACAACTTCTTTTAAGCACTCAAAGTGTCTGGGAGAAAGCGGCGAAAACAGCAGCCCTCGGCACCTAGAGGCCCCCGGGATGAAGAGCCTTCGGCCAATCATCTACGGCTGAAGGCATCTCCTCGACAGAATCTCCCACCCACATGCGTCGGACCAACGTACCGAGTACAAACGTCACATCCAACCACCGCATTTAATGAGGCCACATGCGAGTGCTAGTGCCACCCCGTTGAGGTGACCCCTCGACCACCATAATGATGACACATGTCCCTATCAGGCATTTATTACTACTATAAATAGCACCCCTTTCCCCATTTGTAATCCATGCTCAATACGCTCAATATATTCTCAGCAATATATATCCTCTCTCTTACTTTTGCTCTGACTTTTCTCTCTAGTTACTCCCGGTAGTAACCCCTCGGATAGATACCCCCGGGTACACTTATCCATCAATATATATATATATATATATATATATATATATATATATATATATATTCGAAAGAATAATTTATATTATTTACTTAAAAGCTATATATGCACACTAACTATAAGAGTTCATTTGATGTTTTAATAATGTCATTTGGTTTGAGGGAAAATCTTTATATATATAAAGATACACAATCTTTCAAAATAAATAAATTAATGGCACAAATCATATAATACGTATATACGTAGTATAAGATTTGTTACTTTTTTGAAAAACTCAAAAAAAAAATCATATTTTTCTTTGATATTCCGTATTATTTTAGTAAAACTCGTAGAGGCCAAAACTAAACCAAAAATGTTGTATGAGATTCTCTTTGTACAAGATATAATCAATGTTAATATGCATACTTACTATATATATATATAGAAAATCATCTTATATTGTTGTGGACTAATGGACCGGATGAACGTACGACATTGAGTCGTTATTAGTAGTGTACACTTTCATTAGTTGGGACTAAATGGCAATTATCATATTTAATTAAGATTAATGATACTCGACTCTTTTCCACTCCACATGGAGGATGCACCGAAGCATGCTCTATTGAGAAGGCACCGAAGATGCACCGAAGCATGGCTTATCTTTATGGAAAATTTTACCGTGCCTTCACAATAGGTGATGTTCCGGTGCAGCCTCCACATGGAGTGAACTTCTTTTTAGCATCGTGATGTTTTACTCCGTATTATGGAAAATTGCAATTTAGTCCATAAAAATAAAAATTAAAGTACATTTGATTGACGACTTAATGTTCATTCGGTTCATACCATGGTCTTCGATATTATGTAATAATTGTGCATATTAAAATTAATTCCAAAGATTGTTTGACATGCCAATTTTCAAAAGACTTTTGAAACATATATAAAAGATTGTTTTTAGATGATGCAGTGAGTAATGTATGAGAAAAGTATGTCACTTTTAACATTAATTAGTCCCAACAGTTTGTATATTAAAGCGAACTAAACCAAAATGTCAAGTTTTTATCAAACAGTTACTACATTTTTCTTTTAAGATCTTTAAATTCACTAAAAGCTACGGAGTAATAGTTACTAAAAAGTATCTTTTTAGTTAGTTGTGTCAACATATCCTAAATATGAAAATTGTGTGAAATGATTTTTATTTTAGTTTTTGGCCCTTTTTATGACTTTTACTAAAACAAATATAAAAAGATAAAAATCTGACTTATTTGTATGTTCCAAAAAAACCTAGCTAATTACATCATTTGTGTCATTAATATATTTTGAAAGGAAATTGTCTATATTCATAGATATTTAATCATGTTCCTTACATCCGGTTCAAACTTAGCTAGCAACCTTCTCATCTCTAGACTCAGATCATCTGCTCAGTGATCCCTCACTCCTTGATTGGATATAGAAATGTATGACGGGCAATGAACAAAATGATCAAACAACCACTACAAAAAAAACTCGCGTGTTGTCACGGATTTTTGTCACGGATTAAAAAACGTCGTTTAATTAATTTCAGACAGTATAATATTTAATACGTTATAGATACTTTTTTTAAATTGTTGATAAGCTTGATAAGTAAATACGAAATTACTGAAATAATACAAAAATTAATAATAAACTGTTTCATAGGTAAAAAACAGAAATTAAGTAAAAAAGTGTATTTTATAGATTAAAACAGAAATAAAAAAACTAAACAAACTGTTTTTGTTTATATAATACAAAAATGATTTCATATGTTTCATGAAAAAATTGATTTTATAGATTTCATGAATAAACAAAAACTGAAATTGATTTTATAGATTTTATGAAAAAATTGATTTTATAGATTTCAAAAATCAATTTTTTCATGAAACATATGAAATCATTTTTGTATTATATAAACAAAAACTGATTTTTTTAATTCAAAAACTGAGTTTTTACAAAATCAGAAAACTGTTTTGTATAAATTAATACAAAACACAAGGTGTAATAAACTGTATTTTTCTAAATTAATGCAAAAAACTGATTTTTTAAGTTTTATAATTTAATATGAAAAAACTGATTTTATTAATTCAATATAAAAAGTTTGATTAATTGATTTTATAAGGTTTGATAAAAAATATACATAACACAAGTTACCTCTATAACATAAAAATCATACAAAAAACTGATTCGACCCCTCATATTAAACTCAAGTTTAATATGTTCTATATTTCAAAGTTTTATACCACACAAAAACACCATAAAATAATTTTATAAGGTTTGATAAAATAATATCTAACACAATTAAATTCAATAACATAAAAATCATACAAAAAACTCATTCTACCCGTCATATTAAACTCACGTTTAATATGTTCTATATTTCAAAGTTTGATAAATAAATAGGAAACTCATTATTTAAGTTTAAACCATTATACCACACAAAAACCCCATAAACTTATTTTATAAGGTTTGATAAAATAATACCTAACA